AACTAGACTTTGTAGCTGTCGGGCCAGAATGGCATTTGCTGAAATGTGGCTGGCGTAAGAGCCTTGACCTTAAATAATTCAAGAGTTTGTTCGGTCATGATGGACATAAAATATAGCAAAAAATATCCAGAAATATATCACAATAGGTAAAAATCAAAGTTAAAAATAATATATAAAGTTCTAACAAGGAACAGGCTCATTGTTTGCAAATTGGTGAACCAGATCACGCCGGTGTCTTCACTAAAGATGAAAAAAGTATTCGGAGTTCGATAACACTTCAACCAGTAAGGCCTTCAATAATTGAAACCTGACAAACCAAGCAAATCAAGAGTCAGTAGTGAAGAGGTTAGAACATGTGGACCACAACACTTAGAAGGGGAATCGAGAAATCATGAAGTATAACATAGGAAGCACCAGGCAAATAACCCGTGATGGTAAATCTCCACAAGAAGCATGTAAATCTAAACAATTCACTAAAATGATTAGCTTCAGAAAATATCAACAACGATGGTATCCTCATTAGTTTTACTGGGAATATCCCTAGCTAAAAGCACTTGTGTGGGCATCTGCACGAAATGACTTCCGGGTATGTCGTCCCGTCCATCTATTAAGAAAACTTAGATCGTTTACAGTCTAACATGTTCGCCTTTATTCTCGCCTTATATTCTTGACATCCAGTTTCAGCGGTTTTGTGATCATTGTATAAGTAGTTTCAGACGGTAACACTGACAAACATTACCTCACCCCGAAATATTTCTTGATGAGTCACGATGTGTCCTGGTAATATATACAATATACTGAGATGCTGTTCCTTGATTGAGATTCCTACTGTGATATCTAAGGCAGGTTGTCCCGGCACTGGAGAAAATTCTAGTTTTCACAACCCTAAATGTACTATTATAAAAAATAACCTATGGGAAAAACCACCAGACAACACACGTTGACGGCAACTGTAGCAGGTATACATAACGATCGGTTATAAACCACGCGAATATTGACGACCTATCGATATCTCGGTGATCTAGGCTCAGAAGCCGTCGTCTTTGCGAATTCGGACGACCTACAATATCATGCCGTCAGATACGAGCATAAGTATACTTACACTTTCGAAAGCGCGCCAGTCAGCTTCTGGAAAGCCATCGGATACCCTATGCGGATCCATGTCGTATACATTGTATAGGAACAGTAGCAGAGACTGCGGTTCAGTTGGTGTTTAACGAGAACTTAATACGGGAATCACTTCTTGCCGTTATCCCACATTCACGACCTATCACTTACCTCTAAAGCCATGGACATCGTTTTAAAACATAATCTTTGGTGACGAACCCCCCACTGACTTAGAAAGTTATCGTCAACACTCCTTTACAAAACGACGAATCTCGGCGCACGGCTTTCGTTTTAAAAAACTGCACAGTATTTCTAGTGATTCATCGTCCACAGTGGTCTTGCATTTCTGTCTGCGCATATTGATGACTGTTTTTTTTGTAAGTTTATACAGAGGATCCTATTTTTAGTACATGTCCCTTGCATTTCAACAGCGCTAACAAAATGAAATCTAGATATTTCAAATTGAAAAAAATGTCATCGATTTTCCTAAGAAAGCTAGTGATGCTCAATGCATTTACCCTCTGGAAATGGAGGACTGAATTGCAAGTTACAATGAGGCAAACAATGTATTTGTAGATGCCCCTTCTACGATAAATTTTATTTCTAAACTCACTCGGCCGTGAAATAATAAACTGAATTTTCGCATGAGTTGTTATTGTTATTCACAAACAAATTATTTATACATCACTGTTGTGAAGAAACCATCTTGGGTCTCATCACACATGGGATTACTGACAAGTCTGATTAAGGTTTACATAATATACAAGCTTAGCAATATTTAGAATATTAAGTAACGTCGAAGAGTACGTGCGAATGTTTGAGTTTGTTTATGAAAGAAAAAGAATAAACAGTATTATACACATTACACATAATTTTAAATACACTATTATTGTGGTAAGAATTATTAGTTGAGAGTCAAAACAGTTAACAATGATGCGAGGAAAAACTTATCACGGCGAATTCGCTTGCTAGGAATAAAGAGGTGAGGACATAACTACGCTCCAGTGTTAGCTGCCAAAAATCTTAGGAGATTACATATGAATCATCCCTTGGGATGTATAAGTCCTGATGCTCAAATAGACCAGGTCCATCTTGATTTGACAGTGAACTTTTCCGCATGATGACCAAAAACTGTACCCACCAACATTTTGGCTAGAGTATAAGACAACACCTTTGCCGAATGATAGATCAAATTCTTCGGGTACTCTATAACCATTCCTACAGACCATTAAACCCAATCTCGATATAGATATATTATTTTGAATGTATGGTGATCTGAACTATTGACTAGCTAGCTAAAAACACCATGTACTCAGTTAAACTCGTTCTGATCCGATCACAATCAAATGACTTTTCCGTCTAACCAGCCTCAAGAGTTAGTATATTAAGTACGCAGATCTATCGACACTGTCTATCAAGGACCTAATAAAGCTCTTTATCGTGGACGGAAGTATTATACTGCCAACAGCATCGACAGAGTGAAAAACACTTCCCGTCGAATTCTTCACTACACTATTTCCGATATTATGAAACAACCACGATCATCACCGATCACAAGGAAACATCTGACATCCGGACTAAATCGAAATGTTCTGAGAAGCGTAAAGCTCTCAGGACCCCTAAATGACTATTGTGTATAGGTGTTTCCTTACATAAGGTTAGCATTCTAACGGACAAACTAATATAATAGCGAAAAATTGCGACAGTTCCTGTCCTTTAGATTGTCATTTCCCTTTTCACCACGTCTATATTGGATGATCCGTGCTCAATCTTTGTATCGTGACAACAGTTTGCACACACCAAGAAGACTGACGCGAAATTAATCCTTGCATTATACCTGATAACAGTTTGTGATGAAATCCCACAAATTCATATACACAAGTCTACCAATTATCGTTTCTTAACAAAACCATAATGACTCGTTAACCAAAATGCATTTCTTGGAAGTCCATATACTTTCATCTCCGCATCCTATCTTTGCGTTATTAAGAATATTTAACCTTCCAAAAGTTTTACCCTATCCATCATCATATGACTGAACTGAATTGATATGATTAAAAAGAAAGGATTGAAGTGAATGACTTGAATGGATAAGTGATATTATTGAGTTCTCCATCGCGACACTAGCATAATCAGTTACGCTCAGTAATGTTCGAATAAATAATGTTTTGTACCATACCGACACTAATCATGTTAGGCAGATTAATTGAATTTAAAGCCGTTCTGGTTTGCTTTCTTGAAAATGCGATGACTGTCTTCCAGTCAGTTACAACGTAAGACCAGGCAAGTACATGAATCGGTCCGAGTTGCCGCACATCATTAGCACAGTAAGACAAACACAGGGTTGACAGAAGCAGTTAACTCACTGATGTAATATATAAAAGAAAGATCTTATGTAAGGATATAGAACAGAAGGATACGAAATAATTTTAACCTCATAGTTTAAGGGAAAATAGACAGTATAGACACCTGTGTCATTATGATCGATTCTGAGCCATGTCATCCAGTCTCCAACCACTGGTTACGGTCGTCAGGCGGACCCAAACCAAGTAGTCTGCATCTACCAACATGATCGAGACTAAGAGTTAGACTCCAAGAAATGATGTAACGTTTGGCTTTGGCCACCCCTAACTTTCTTCCAAACGTCTCCAACACTAGTCAACATTGTACGTCGTGGCAATCGGTGTTTGGGCATGTGTGATACTTAACCCAATCATCTCAGTCGATGTAGGTTTGCAACCTCATCAACTGATTTACCATCATTCCCTAACACCCTGCGTCTAACCTCACTACTACTTACCCGGTGATCCCAGAAGATGCGAGCAACATTTCTAGGACATCTGTGGTCGAATACTAGTAACTTACGAGTGTCCTCTATCCTCAATGGCCACGTTTCGCTGCCGTAAAGTAGAACAGAACGAACTGCCACACAGTATACTCGTCTCTTAATTGGTAGACAGATATCTCGCCTTCTCCATAGGTGACGTAAGTTGGCAAAAGCCAAACGAGCCTACTGAATCCGTGCTGAGATTTCGTCAGATACCAACCTACTAGGGCTGACCAGACTTCCAAGATAAGTGAAGTTGTCACCGCGTTTGACTGCTCCACTCCCTATCCTGAGTTCAGGTGTTGGCTCAGGCCAACCCTGGAGCAACAGTTCGCATTTAGAGGGGGAGAAACGCATTCCAAACATTCCTGGTATTGTTGCTTAGTGCTACCAAAAGAGTGCATTTTAACGTCTTCACCAAACAGGACTATATCCTCTGAGTATTCTAAGTCGATAAGTGGACCTCCTGGAAGGAGGTCAATCCCAGAAAATCCAGTCGACAGAAGCGTTAATTAACATCAGTAGGTCTACGATGAAGTTAAACAGAAATGAAGAAAGTGGACAGCCTTGTCGGACACCACTTGAGGTTGAGAAATCAGGTGACAGTTCACCATAAGCTCTGACTCGACTAGTAGTGTTCGAGTAAAGAGCCTTCACAAGGTTTATGTACTTCTGAGGTACGCCTTTCAATGACAGACACTGCCACAGAATCTCGCGGTCTACGAAATCAAATGCTGCTTTTAAGTCAAGAAAGACCACGATTGCCGGACGCCGATAAGTATGCCTGTGTTCTAGAACCTGACGAATAGTGAATATGTGGTCGATGCAGCCACGACCAGGTCTGAAGCCAGCTTGATTCTCTCGTGTTTGCAGTTCACGAGTTTTAGTTAGCCGTCTGATAATTATCGAGGCTAGTATTTTATATGCTATATTAGTCAAAGTAATCCGTATATGGTGGTGATTTTGACCTCTGCTTATATATCGGGACATTAAGCGATTGCGAGTGTCTTTCAGTTGATTATTTTGGTTTAGCTTATTAATATATTACAACTTATGCTAAAACGTTGAAAAATAATCAACTGCGTCACAACCTAAGATTTCAATGCCAAGTAATAAATATTTGAATTCATCTGGAGGCCACTGAAACGCTACAAGTACGACATGTAAATTCATAATCACCATCGCATCAACCTAGTTTCAAATTTACATAAGGGTTAGAAATTATCGGAAACAACATGGTAGATTATACTGGTAAAGGAATGTGTCAATTGATTAGGTGGACTATCAGTAATCAGAAAAAGTGCCATGCACGACGCACATGTATATGTACTGTATTTGAAAAAGTACAAATAATCTTTAGAAATAATGCATGCAGTAAACACCATTGATCAAAGATAAAGACTAGCTGCAAAAACAATATCCCGTTTGATTTTTTCGATAGCTAAAACAAAAAGGAGATAAATGCAGAAAATCATCATTTCAAAAAGCGAAAATATATTGAAAACAATTAGGATAAGAAATTTTTATTAGATTACATTACAAAAAGTAGTCGATAGAGACAATTCATACTAATAATTTCAAATATCCTTCATTTTCACATACTTTATCATAGTCGACGGATGTTTGGAGAGAAAAAAAGCAAGGTCATGTCACATTTACCTATTGTTCGAGTCAAATAAAACATAAGCCATCAAAGTCGGTAGGCCATTAGATAAAAAGCAAACTATGTCTTAAATTATCTTTTGGTCTTATTTGAGTAGTATATTTAAGGCACAAACTAAGCATAACCCTTTTCATGTTGAAATGAGTCAAAAGAATCAAATAAAAAATATTGACCCTCAATGAATCGTGTAAATAACACTATAATAGTTTTCCCGATTGTGCTGGTTATTAAAGACGTAAACCTATAACCTTGAGTGCAGCTACTAAATTCGAAGTGTTTCTCACGTTTACGATAAAAGGAATCACAAACGAGTTGAAACGTCCACATGATTTTGGCAAATATTATGCATCACTAGCACCACAACTGTAAATATTTTCAATTTTTTTACAGTGAAAACGGGGTCAACACATCTAGAATTTATGTAGCTGACACAACACAGTACACGACTTCATATCATAATATGCAACAAAATAAAGACACAATAACTACTAACCCTCAACAAATTTCTTTTCCAAAACATTGCTACCAATTGTTCTAGCTGCATTAGCCATTTGTCGCAATAACTCTTCAAGTAATCTCAATGTACGAATAATTGTGCCTTCAAACAAGTCTGTCATAGAACAAACGCTAGCAAAGGATGCTCCTCTTGTCCATGCATCAACAAGATCCATTAAATGAGGTTTAAATGAATCCACGTAATTATCTTCATCAACTGGGAGACGACATTCGTTACTAATGCGTGCAATACGTCTGGCTGTATCCTGTGTACAAATAGATATTGAATTAATCGAGATAAAAAGTAAAACGAATAAAATTTCCTTTTTCTAACCATAAAAACGAACGCAAGCAACGCCCAAACACAATTTAATATTCCTCATGGATATCGAGGGAAACACTAATTTATATGAAGTCAGTGAGCTACAGTTGGAATATTTTTGAAACACAGTAACAACAATCCCACTAGCAAACTATCTTAATTGTAAAGAGACAGAGTTACAGTTTGAATCTCGGGATTTTGTGGAAGATATAATTTAATAAAACACGGACTTGATGAAAATTCAGGATCTAGTGATGCGCTGCATGACTAAGTAAACGTTTAATAGTTGAGTTACTATGTATGTACAGCTTATTTTTAACTACAAATAATTATATATAAAAAGTGATGAACAACAGCCAGTGTTGAAGTAAAAGTATACACAGATATCCAAATAGTTTGTGAGCAAGGAAACGTGACAATAACTGTATCTCGAAAGTGAATTAGGTGGAAGGTGATTTGAACATAGTTCAATGGTAACAAGTAGCGTACTTTAACCAATAAGCTATTACTCACAAACGGTGACGACATGACTACACTAACTCTACATATGCAAGTAAACTGGGTGTTAAACTTTAAACATCAAGATGAGGAGTCAAGTGTTTATTACAAAATGTGAGACCATAAAGTAAATTACAGTTATATTTAAGGAAATGATGGAAATCAGGTGGTAAAATTGTCAGTTAACATGATGAAAGACCGACTCGGCTCGCACAGAAATTCTAAGATGATCTTATCGGTTCAAGAAGTTGAGAACTCGTCAAGTTATTACTAGCGGTTTTACATGTGTAACTCGACTTATTCTAAGAGCTAGTTTAAATAGTTTTGAAAATGAATACGCTGAAAAGAAAACTCAACGATGAACTAATTTTTGATATTTTAAATTAAATCAACTCGTGCATTTAAAAATAGAGTTGTTCATATAGTTATTTAGAAGCCCGATTTTAACGTTATCAGCAACAGTACATAATTTTCATGATAGCTTGGAAGCCAATATCTCTGTGTTTAACCATTAAAACTTAGATAAGTCTTCAGAAAAGAGAAAAATGTGAAAAGCAGGTTAATTAACTGGAAAATAGTGGGTTATATTTGAACAAATTTAAAAGATTACAAATTTCGTTCCAACCATAACTTCGATGCTGAATTCAGTCTCTGAAGAGTACGAGAGATGTTGAGATTCAGAATTATTGTTAGTCAGCAAGATGTATAGATTTCGACTATTTACATGTAGTATTGTAGATTATTTAAAAAAACATGTTTACGTAATCATCTTTGAGTCAGACTGTTTGTGTGTGTGCTAGTGATACTACCCAGCTATCCAAACTCGAGTCGATGAGATTGGGTTCGAGCTTGAAACGTATTGGTTGGAAGCTGAATGCATTACTACTGATGATAATCTAAAATAATTTCATAATAAGCGAGTAACAAGTGCAAAACAAATGAAATTCAGGAAAAGGTTTGACAGTTATCTCATACGATACTAAAAATTCTCAACAATAAACACTTATTAACGATGTATAAAAGTACTAAGAATATGATCTACAATGACTTACTTGTAATGTACGCAGAGCATCAGATAATTCCTTAGTTAATTTGGGCATTTCCGAAGCTCTTTCCTCAAATACAAAGCAAGAAAGTAATGCTGCAATATGCTCAGACGACAGTCTATTGAATACCCCATCAAATAAAAGTTCTGTTAATAATAACTCATCTGCCGAGGTGATTTCACAGGCTACACAACCTTTTAACTCAATTACGTCATATTCAGAAACGAAATTTAATCGTCTTAATACACGTTTACGAGCCGATAGTTCTTCCAATTGAATTAAAGAAACTTTACTATTCAGATTAGCTGTAAGAGCATCGATACGTTTACGAAGTTGCTCTTTCTTTCTATAAACTTTCGAAAGTTCTGAAAGACGTGGGTCATCATGAAGCCAATGATGCTGTAGTCTCTCTTGAAAAGCAGTAACTTTCTAAAACATAAGAAAAATCACAAGGTTGTGAGGTAATGTATTACTCAGTTTGTATGCAGATTAAAACATTAAGTATAGACCCACTTACAAAAAAATATATTGAACGGGAATAAATAGGACCGAAGCATTTAAATATAGAATAACCCTAAATTTAATGGACGATGAGTGGAACTCAACTATTGAGACTTAAGAAATTACTCAACGTCTATAAACATAGACTACGGTTATAAGCTCAAGCTGTCCAGATTTTTCAAATCAGTTCTACATCAGTGTGAAGATGAGTGTCCATTACTGAGAAGCCCCAAAAGACGATGCAGCTACCCAGTACTTCCTAGTTTGAATGCCACTCTTTCCTGCCGATGGTATTCGGTAAAAAAACTAGCTTTGTTATATCCTAGTGAAGATTACATTACGAGTAACGTCTGAGACTTATTAATGGACTACTATTATTTATATATTCTTATGGTATAAATATTCAGTAACTAGATTATGTATATCTATATTCCCCTTGTTATAAGCTTTATTCTGACCTATTATTTATTATTGTACGATTTACGGTTCTTAAGCTATGTTCAGTTTATTGACTACTGCCTCCCACGTTCACAGCCACTTTTTGGCTTTACTAAGCGCAAATGTTATTTACCATTTTATGGTGCGCTGGGGTCTGTTTGGTTGATATATAAGCCCAGTATGTCTGAAATAAATTATTCGATTCGCGTAGTGGAAGCTGGTATTGGTGTTCTGGACTCAAGTGGACGGGCTAGGCGGACATAGGACCAATAAGGACGCTAGGCTGCTCATACCGGTCGAACGTCATTGGTTTGGCACAGTGCTAAGATTGTATGTCATATCCTGATTGGTGGATAAATCACGTGATAAAAAGTCGGACATCAAGTCACAACAAGCTTCAAAATAAACGTACACATTTCTTTATACTTACCTCATTTACTTCCAGGAATCGTGGATCATTAATGTGCATATCTGCAATAGGATCTAAAACTGGCAAACTACCACCCATGCGTATTTTCACTTTTTCTATTGCATTTAAAACACCTTGTCTAGCCTCTTTTGAACGAAGATCATTTGGAACAACTAAACGTACAGCACTAATACCAACAACACAATCTAGTCGTACAGGAATAATCTCAGCCATCGGTGATGTATCACTACCAGTAGCAGTAACTGAATTTGAAATTTCCGAGTTATCTACTGGATTCCCACTAGGTAAATCACAACCAGATTCTTCTGAATTCGATCTAGATGGATTGGTGCATAATAAACAATCAAGTATATAAAATGATTCAGGTGTAGATGACCTGTCTTTACGCTGACGTTTTTTCAGATTGATCACAGCTCCCCATCCGTATGAGATGGATTGAACAACAATCTATGACAGAAGAGATTAATAGAAATTTGACAAAAGAAATATACAGACGTAAAGAATACTAAGATCTTTGGTCATTATTATTATAGACTCTAACAATTATCTTAGGCACACTATGTGAATTAAGTGAAAAGCTTTAATCATTGCTAATTATACTATGGGATGCATATTTCTATAAAAAAAATAGTCATTTTAAATAAATTTGTTATATTTTGAAAACGGATCTCCTCATAAACAATATACACTTGACTTGAATAAATGACTAAAAATCACCCAGATATATTCGAGGCATGACGAACTAGCAAAGTGTTATACAATTTTTAGGATTAGTCTTTCCATGATTATCTACTGAAGAAACATCAAATTTCCTCGTCAGTGACCTCTACACATCTACAATAAAACCAGTGGAGAAAGGAAAATTAAAAAAACACACAACACCACTTTTCAGAAAATACCACAAATGATCGACAAACTCATTCATGTTATGTGACATAAGAAGTGTACTCTGAGACTAATTTACTGAAAGTAAACTGTCGTCTTGATTACATCACTTTAAATTTAGTTAAAAACTGTCATTTATGATAAGAAACCGTGTGTAATAAAATCTGAAAACACCATTTTTGAAAGATTCCACATATAAGTACGTATCTAGAGTAAAAAGATTTAATAACTTCTAATCAGAATGGTACCAATTGTTACACAGTTACGGGAGAATATTGATTCTGTAAAGCTCCGAAACATTTCTTTTCGTATACGAAAAAACATCTCAAAAATTTACTACATGGAAAATTTGACATTAAATATAGTGTACTAGTTTTATATCGCTCAGCTTAATAACTGTATATGATTCATTGATCAATTTGATTATCATGGTACAGATGATCACAGCATAGTTTTAATTACTGTTTAAAGACAACTTCTTGGAATTATTTTACTATCTGCAGTTAGTCAACTCGGAATATATATATATATATATATATATATATATATATATATATCCACGCTTACTTTAACAAGACGACCTGGTTGAAGAAAAGGTACTATGTACTGTGGACGTCTTATATACTGCCACTGCTGTCCAACTAGTTCATCGAAGCATAATTGAATTTGATGATATGATTCGACGGATTCTTCATCATCAACAACAGTTGATGCATAAGTGGCACGTAATTCATTCAATTCTAAAAGTAAAAATAAACATTTTCAAAAAAACTACATTTTGAAATAAGCTTCATTGAAATAGGGTGGTGGGGAAATAACTAATGAGAGAGGTAAGGTATTGCAACATTCATTAGTGATTATGTAAATTTGCATACTTTGTAACCGTTTTGTAGTAGTAATTACAAATCACTCGATAACCTGATATTATTCTTTGAGTCTACCATAGTAAATAAGATCTAATGTGGGTATAATGTAAATGATATAACTTTCGGAATACTGATAAATTTTCGTAATCAAAGGTATCAACAAAGTTTGATTCCATATAACAAAGTATCCGTTTAAATTGATTAGCAGTTTTTGCCACGATAATAGTTTGAACTGTCTATTTTAGCTGCTCTGTCAATTTGTACTGTCAGCAACAAAAATATATAATAATAAAAACCAGCTTTATATTACTTGAAAAAAAGAATGAGTTTGATGAATAAAATCATTAAGAAAGTGATGATTCAATCAGGTAGGGAAATAAGAAAAGGTAATCTCATATGAGAAGACAAACAAGTACAGTGTGAATTTGAAACTGTAAGTAACATTATATTGAATTCTTTAGTGTTACAAGTTCATACCAAATTATGCATATGTACACTTACTTCCGATTCTTAAGCTAGAATATTAAGCTTATCAGTGATAGACAAAAATGAATTATGCATAGGGATTTACAGTAGAAATATTAAAAAAACTTTGGAAGATATTTGATGACATATGACAGGAAGACGAACTGATAAGTTGTTTTAACGCCTGAAACAAAAAAACTGGTAACGGTTAATGTTTGCAACATCAAAATTAGTAGCAATTATGCAAAATTAACAAGAAAGTTACAATTTTCTCCAGAAAAATCAAGCATAATGGAGATGATCGAAGTAACTTTTGAATAATTAAGTCACCAGCATCGAAATAGCGGATAGATCAATGAAATGCTTACTGTGACATTGGTGAATCAAAATAGAAATATTTTATCTCGAAGTTGAATTTTTGCTATACCGAGTACAATATGAAAATTCGAACGCTTGAACTCTCCAAGTCCCAAGTAAGAAGAAAGAAGGCGAGTGGAATGGAATCTTATCCTAACCAGTGTCAAATACGGTACAAAACACTCGGGTATTTTTAGTTCTTAGTACAAACAAAATCATCATTATAATCAGTCAATCCGCATGTAGGTTTTTAGAATTTGCCCAGTTGGGAAGCTACATATCGAGATTCCGGAATGTCCTTCCAAACGATGACTGGATGTAATATCTTCGGCTCGTTCAGAGCTTCCATGAGTTTACCGGGAGACGTCCCCACAGAAAAAAGAATAAATTGTTTTACTATTCATAGTTCAAAGTCTTTTTTATAGAATAAAGTTATAAGAATGTATAAACAACTCGTAAACCTATCCAAATAAAACTGAGATTCTACTTGAGATTTGTATCAAATTAACACTACCTTTATACATATTAGGAAGACTGGCAAAATTTTGGAATTGGCAAAAGCTTCTCTCCATCATGTATTCCGGATTAATTTCTTCAACACGCAATAAATTTAACAGCATATTATAAGTGATATGAAAAGCTGAATTCAGTGGGGGTGGTGGACCCATCATAATTTGATGAGCTAGTTCACTAGTCATACTTTCATCAACCATTAGAATTACAGTACCACTATCGTCTTTACCACGACGACCAGCACGACCAGACATTTGAATATATTCACCTGATGTTATCTGTATGAAATAATTAATAAAATATTAGTTATAAGGGTACTAATATATTTTGAACAATGGCTTTTACAACCAATCAGTATCAATAAAATAGCTAGTGAAAATTAATGCACTGAAAAGCTGTTTGCTGTAGAGTATATACTCATGATGTTCACATAAAGAGAAAGGAAAGAAACTCGATATCCCGTAGGTCATTTATTCCCTCTATAAACTTTATAAACTCTAAAACTTTTCTTCAGTTTTTTTACCGGTAACAATATCACGGAGTAATCAGTCAACCATAGAAGACATGATTGTTCATTAAAATCCCACACATCTGCAACTTCTATAGTTATAAGGTTTATTCATAATTGATTTCAGATAAATATAATGAAATGCTTCCAATTAATTCGAAATAAATATTTTCATGATGATGATGGTCAAGAGTAAAAGTCAGCCAGGAAATAGTCGTTAACCAAATACCTCCACTGGGAAAACAGCTGATATCAACTGCCAGGCAAAATGCAGTAACAAGTAACATATCCATTCAAGTGTTAAGTAAGATATAGGCGCGGTCACCAGAAAAGGTCTAAGTGGATTCTCAGTACGAAAACTTTTTAAAAAGAAATATCTGATAAGAATGGAAATAAAGTATAGTGCATAAACAAAGACTGTAGCTATAGCACTCAACAGCCAATGTATTTTAAGACAACCTAATAAACTGTCTCACAGAAGAGCCAGTAAATAATTAGTGAGTCGATTACTGACAAGATAAAAAGTTGATGATTCAAAGTTTGACTGAATTAATATTTAAATGTGGAAAACGTTTGATAAATCTTGTCGACTGAACGCTATATTTATTTCCTAAGCTATTCCGATGACCCGCACGCTAGAACTACACAGCGACTTGAACACCAGAGAGAAGACGCAAGTATGAGAGAAAATACTCTACTCCAAGGTTCATTGTTGTACAGAAAGCATGGGTATTTATAGATGTTGAAATTTGTTAAATCAACATCATATTTCAGCCGATCCGTTAACGACATATTATGTTACTGACCAAAAGTAGCACGCCACGTTGGAATTCTAGAATGCTCCTTCGTGTTGTGATTGACTACGACTTTTGGCTCCTTTTGGGCCTCTGGAGGCTCCGTTTAAGTTCTCCGAAAGCCGACTCAACAACGTTAATTAAAGTTGAAATGAAGCTTGAGTCATCAAATTATTTGGATTGGAAAATTACAAACTATCAGTTGGATGTTTTTCTCAACACTTAGCAAATCGCTGTGTAGCACCGACTGAAGTCCTTACAAATGAAAGAACAAATTTTAACAGAAATGAACTGGTGATTAATATTTGGCTTGCTTTCTAACTGCTAAAAGTTGTGAGGAATGAAACTCTAAAGTAATATAATGTCTGTCAAATATAGTATGTATTTCATTTTATTAAGTTCACTCAATGGATTTTTGTTAGTTCATAGATATGAGGAAATTATAATATGAATATTTTCTTTGTGAATGATAAGCATTCGATATCAAAAGATTTCTTATTCATCTTGGATCGACAGCATAATATGAATATCCATAAGAATCCAGTTTTGACAATGAAAGTCAAACACTTACTTTAATTCTAAACAGCAGACGCAATAATTATCACAGTATATTATCGGTGTTGTGGCAGTCTGGTTTTTAAGCAAGCAACCTTAATAATATTCTAATAGCTATTTAAAATGTTTTACTCACTATAGATTTGCAACTTGGTAATGGGAATTATGAAATTTTTATAAACACGATAGACTTGATATATACAAACTTTTGAATTTAATCAGGTTCATTTATTCACATGGGAGTCTTATAATATTCTCCCGCCCAGGACATTTGGTTACTTCAGTAAATTATTGATCACAGTCGACTCAATTTTATGTCTTTTAGGTATTTAACCCTTTATATGAAAGAAACTAAATCTAGATATTATTTAACTTATACAACATAGAAAGTAATGTTTTGGAGTGTTATAAATATAAACAATCATTGTGCAGTTTTATTGCACTCATAAAAAGATCACCTGGTAATATAAGTTGACGTAAAATGTTGATATCACCATGTGTTTTGCTTTTCCACTCTCGTATGTCCACTTATACAACAATGATCGAATAGAGCGGACTGTTATACAAAATACACGTTATGGATATACGAAAAAATTTTCATCTGACAGAGAAACAGAAAATCAAAATGATAGGAACCTTATACAGGAAAACAAAGGTATTCAATCTATCTGATCATTATAAATTGTTCTTATAGAAGGAGATAAAGACATTGGAAAACTAAAGTAGTATAAGTTAGATAAAAGTGCTTAAGTAACAAACTTGATCAGAAGATTACATATTAATAATAGTCAAACATACAGATTACAATGTGTGATAAGGAAATAAGTTTGAATTTTTTTGTTTACGTAGAATGTGATATAACCGTGAATCAGTTCAAACTGTAACATTTATAAGTAATTTAATATAATAGAAGCAACGGAAAATAGATAAATACAGACTAATGGTTGTATATAGTGGAGAATAAATACCAGAAAGTACATTCACTCTGTATGGAATGAACTACTGATTTCCTAATCATTCATTCGCTTACACTTTGATAAAAACCAGTTTAAACTTTAGGATGGAACTTATTCGACAAGTATAGATTCATGTACTTAATTTTCAACCATATTTTAGATGTGAAGACTACTGGTACTGAATCCACAAACCGGAGATGGGGTAGTGTTCGAAACTGTAGTCCATTATTTGACAACAGAGTGTACGAACGACTAGGCCACTAATCCATTTTGTGATACAAATTACAGTGTATTTTATTATTATTTCCCTAATTGCTTCGCAATTTGATCAAACGTAAGGGACGATACGTTGATACCGGTAATCAAAAACTAGCATTAACAAAATACATGAGGAATATCCAGAAAATGCATAGCTACATACGAATGTTGAGCGATTTCGTGTTGTTTATACGATAATGGATAAACGGCTAGATATTATATCGAGGTTGAAACTAAAGTAATCCAGAAAATTGAGGTTAACTTTTATATCACGGGCCGACTCGATGAACTACTCAAACTAAAGATACTTAGACAGACTGATATGTTCATCACATTAATCTCTACATTTTAACAGGTGATTAGAGTATTCTTAAGATACGAGTTTCAACTTGTGATTGTAAAACTAACAGCAGTCACATTTATTGAAGAAATCCAAGTACAGTGTTTAACGAATCAAGATACTACAATAAATGTACATCTTTAAAGAAAAAAGACAAAAATATAAGTAGGTTATTTGTAGCTTGCATCTGAAAGCAAATCATAACCAAATTTATAGGTTCTCGATGTAGATCACTGTGGTTTATGATTAAACTTAAAAATTAACTATTATCTCAGAGCTTTATACTTTGCCAAACTTATCGAGAATAAAAGAATGAAAAAAGAACAACAGAATCGTTTTATATAAGATACACTAAAGATGTGAATAAACTATTTCGTCTTGATAATTGAATATATATATATATATATATATATATATATATATATATATATATGAACTAGTTGGTTTGTCAAAACAATTATCTACAATATCTGCACAAAACTTTTATTCGAAGTTTGATTTCACACATTCCATCATATATTTTAGTATAGGTAAGAAGAATTCTAACACAAAAATAAACCGGTTAAACTGGAAGAAATTAGTCATGGAACGTGAGATATTCTTCGGTACAAATAATTTAATCACACATAATGACAACATATCCTGTGGTCGTATTGTCTTTCAATAATATCCTAGTATCGATTTTCAATGGTTAAAAGAAATTCAGAAACAGACAAATATCAAATTAGATACTTAAAGGTTGTATCTACGTACCCAACGGTAAGACTGTCCATCATATTTACGAGCCGAGGTGAATAGGACCGTTCTAGCGGGCATATTTAAGCCCATGGCAAATGTTTCTGTAGCAAATAAACACTAAATATCCATATAAAACAATAAGCAAAAAATGTACGGTTAACAGCAAATGATTGAAAAGAGTAATTATCAAAGTAATGATAAATACAGTCTTTAGAAACCCACTCACTTGTTAATATACCATGATGCTGACTTAGGAAACCTCAGAAATCTAATTTCCGAGTTAATAACACTATATATATTGAGTGAAATTAAGTTACCGAAAAATTGCTTGAGACATTTACAATAATATATTTTATTACCCTGACGAATTCACGACATGAATTTAGATGGTTCGGTTTGCTTTTGCCAAGTTTTGTTACTTATGGTGTAGGCGAGATCTCCCATCTGTGAACCAAAGAGCATTTACACTGAGCTATATTACTTTATGGCCATGAAACATGACCTTTATAAGTAGAAGACATAGTGAAGCTGCAGGTTTTGATCATATGTATTTTTGAAGAATTTCCCGTCTTTTGTGGAACAACCAAGTGACCAGTGTTGAGATTAGGTATATGTTGCCGCGAATGGCCCACTCAATAACCGCGACCGGTGATTATAGACGTTGAGTGATAGATCGGAATAGGTCACAATGACAGTGGTGTATTCACTCTTTGTTCTCTCACAAATCTTAAATGTCAAAATTATTTTATACTTATTATTATACGAGTTCTTCCTATTTTCGTAAAGCATACTTCCACGCCTAATCCTTTTTACTACCACTGATACTACTACTTCCACCACTTTGGTATTCATCTTGATTATTTCATCTTTGTGTTACAAAAAAAGCAATCGATAAACGTATACAAACGTGAAATAAGTAAATAAATTAACATGTTTATGAATATAGGCTTTGATTAGATCAACTCTTACAACCTGATTGTCACGTAGTCTATGTACTAAAACTGGTATTGTAAAGTCTTCGTAACTTTGCTTGCATGCATGGATTCTAATTTAGATCAACGGATAATAACTCAATGAATTCATAATAGATTACCACTAAGTATCTTGAACCGTTCATAATACTTTAATATTCCGTGATTATTGTGCAATGACCAAAACAAACGATAAATATAAAATAGGAACTAGTCACCTCGATCAATAAAATAGAGTACGAGCAATGTGTCGATAGTAAAAAGTACAACACTAGGGGTAAGTGTGAGATTACTAGAATCTTTTACTAATGATAAAATTGAAAGACTGTAACACATGACTGATACTAATATACACCCTCTATATACAGATGTTGCAAGACAAGTGTAAACAGACATAAAATGAAGGCTTACTTTAATTAAATTCTCAGAAAATAATATTTCTATAGTTTCCTTTAATAAAGGCAAAAGACCACCATGATGTATACCAATACCACGCTTAAGCAATGGTAAGACACTCTCAACTTGTGGTAATGCGCGATCTTCAGGTGAAAGACCATCGATTGCATTGCGGAATACTTCATCAACGACTTTTTTCTCTGCATCTATACACAGAAAACCGATAACAATAATTACAGAAATTGTCAACCAACAAATAATAAAGGTGATAAGATTAGAAGCATTAAACCATAAGAAAAAATAAAATGTGTCATACATTGGGAAACCTGTTGTAACTTGTGACTGCAGGTTTTGATAGGCAGCGTTTTTATCGATCGATTCAGTGACACGTATAACACTTAAGGACGACCTAGAGTCCCGATTGGTCCCGCTCCCCTGTCTAGCCCAGCCAGTTGAGTCCAGAACGCAAGCCACAGCCTCTGAGTTATTAATCATTGTATTTCAGACATACTCTATTTATATACCAGACAAACAAACCACATCGTACCATAAAAATAGAAAACAACATTTACACAATATTTAACATGTGAAACAAACATCGACTAATGGGAAATGTCCATTTAACATCCAAGGACACCATTCGACTTAACACGATAATTATTGGTACATTCCTCTGCATACCTAACAAAACCTGAGGAAGGTCAAGGTTGAGATATCAAATATGAAAAACTTTTGAAAATCATAAAGGTATATGACGGAGAATTTCTAGTTACAGCAAAATCGCAAGTAACTTTGATTCTGTACAGGGTTAGGGAATATTTCAAGCCATTAAGTTACATACTTTGTACGGTCATAATACAGAAAAAGATGCTAATCCTAACTTTAATTTTACAGAGTTACATTACTAATTGTCTGGGTTATTGACTTTCTAACTGGTCTCAACATTAGTAAACAAAACTTGGTGAGGAACATCAGGGATGTAAAAAAAATTGAGGTAACTTTATTTAACGGAACTGTTACTTATGAACAACAATAGGGTAAAAAAACGATAAAGATAACCAGACAGAAAAAGAAGTCTAATATCATTAGATATAATAATGAATACTTTTTAATATTAATCCATGTAACATTGCTAAAATAATCATGAATATTGGGATCGAAGTTACATGGAAAACTTAGATTACAACCCAAAAATTTTGAAAAAATAAGCATACCAGTAGTGAAATCGAATTTGGCTAATTGGAGTGCATAGATTTCACACTCCTTTTTACTGAAACTAAATACAATTATGGGTTCCAAACTGCGATGTTTGACCAAACGAACAATTTGAATGACATTATTTTCAGAACCTAAAAGAAAGCGCATAATGTAAGTGGTTATATAAGAACTAATTGCTGGTTAGATAACTTGACGTATTAAGTGATTACACCACAGAAACTACGTATTATAAATGCTTGCGCTATTCAGTAAGGTGTATGTAGAATACTAGTTACAGTCATTACTTTTTTTGGAAGATATTGGCCCAAGTGACACAACACTAGAAAGTTATGAGTTGAAGTTCTGTACATTCCAGAGTAACTCATACATACTAGATACCAACACAAACGACCGGAGAAAAACATGGTGTATACAAACTATAATACAATTAAAATAATCTAACGAGGAAACAATTTGATATTCAATTGACAAGCACACTGGAAAACAAAAAGCTTTAAGATGTTCACACTTAGTGGAATTTGGTAAACATAACTTCTGTAGATAGTATGCAGTGGAAATGTTTCTAAAGAGAATAAAAACTGGTTTAAACAAATACTATCTTACCAGGCTTTAGATTATCACTTAATAAACTAATTATGGATACAAGAATAAGGGGGAAATATTATAAAGACAGGGGTATTTGTACACATCTCATGGATTAAGAGGACTCAATCCAGACGTTTTACCCGATCCGAGCTACTTCGGGGAAATTATCGGAAATAAGAAAGACTGACACCATGAGCCCCATATATACTGGCGAATTTAGTTACTCTTAATAAATAGGATAGAGTGCAACTAACCACATTTTGGCACTGAACTAATATTCAATAAATAGGAAATTTGTGACCGATTCCCATACTCATCTTAAACTCCACTGTTATTGACAAAAATTTTTTTGATTTGACATGTTTCCAAATACCTTTGACATAATACTATATATCCTGAGCAAGCTTTACTTGTTCTATATTTCCAATTTTGAAAATACAGACGATTATCACAGTGATTAATATGACCCTGGACATATTTTTTAGCGTTATATGATTACTAAAATCAAGTTACGCTAACACACATCGTATACCACAACTACTCATACGAGATAACTTACACTCATTATAAATAGTTCATTTTTATGTAATGAAGGATGATAAGGAACTTTGCAGGCACTACTTGCCTACTACATAACAACTATAATTTTAAACATATTTTAACTCAGTAAAGAAGTATGACAATTTGTGTAAACAGTATGCGCCATTCTTGATATTATTTAATTGTTAGGAATTAAAGTATATGAAAATGATTTAAATTGATTTCAGATAAATCAGATATATATTAGAGCACATATTCTGAGAAAATAGGTAACCCACGTTTATTGTAATCAACTTGTGACTTTTGTCTTTTATTTGATGATTCATCCGAAAGGAACGAGCGCATAGCTCGTTCAAAATTTTGCTCCAAATATTTACCCTATAAGAAAACATTTAAATAAGCTGATATAAATCACAAAAGACGAGGATATATATAATTAATTATTATCTAATCATTTCCGCTTAGGTAGGGGGGGCTTACATTAACTCAAAATAGTTCAGATCAAATATCAGTATTCCCATAACAAAGTACACGTTTCAGTTTGATCACCTTGATGCTTTTACCACTGGTATTTAACCTTTATAAAATAGTTTAGAAAGTTGTCCAATATGTGTTCACTAACGCTTAAAAAGTACACTGAATCGAATTTTTAAGACTAGATTTGATCGTAGAAATAATTCTGAGTATATAAAATCGAAATACATTTCACAATCTTATTAAGTTTAGCTCTTGCCGCCAGAAAAAAATTGGCTTGAGTATGAAAGATTTAATTAGCTCCAATAGCTTGGGAGTAACTTCCCCTACTACGCTGTTAAATGACATCGTTTAGAATTTTTGGAAGAATCAATTGTCTAGGGTTACAGATATGCCTTGCCGATGAATATCAACAAGCTCGGAATCTAAATATAGAGCTTCCAAAAAATTAACTAATTTTATATGGCAAATGACCTGATTTATAATCACGCTATTTTGATCCTCGACCGTTTACTTACTTACTTACTTACTTACGCCTGTTACTCCCAATGGAGCATAGGCCGCTGACCAGCATTCTCCAACCCACTCTGTCCTGGGCCTTCTTTTCTAGTTCCATCCAATTCTTGTTCATTTTTCTCATGTCTATCTCCAATTCTCGGCGTAATGTGTTCTTTGGTCTTCCTCTTCTCCTTTGGCCTTGAGGATTCCATGTGAGGGCTTGTCTTGTGACGCAGTTGGGTGCTTTCCTCAATGTGTGTCCTATCCACTTCCAGCGCTTCTTCCTGATTTCTTCCTCCACTGGGATCTGGTTTGTTCTCTCCCACAGTACGTTGTTGCTAATAGTGTCCGGCCAATGGATCTGAAGTATTTTGCGTAAACAACTGTTAATAAACACCTGTATTTTCTGGATGATGGCTTTTGTAGTTCTCCAGGTTTCTGCCCCATACAGTAGAACTGTCTTGACATTTGTATTGAAAATCCTGACCTTGATGTTGGTTGACAGTTGCTTTGAGTTCCAGATGTTCCTCAGTTGTAAATATGCTGCTCTTGCTTTGCCGATCCGCGCCTTCACATCTGCATCAGATCCACCCTGTTCATCAATGATGCTGCCCAAATATGTAAAGGTTTTAACATCTTCCAAATCTTCTCCGTCAATTGTGATTGGATTGGTGCATGCTGTCTTGTATCGGAGAATCCTGCTTTTCCCTTTGTGTATGTTGAGACCTACTGCTGCTGAGGCTGCTGCCACACTGTTCGTCTTCTCCTGCATCTGCTGTTGCGTTTGGGATAGAAGGGCCAGATCGTCTGCGAAGTCTAGATCATCCAACTGCATCTTAGATGTCCATTGTATCCCGCGCTTCCCTTCAGACGTTGACGTCTTCATGATCCAGTCGATCACCAGGAGAAAGAGAAAGGGTGAGAGTAAGCAACCTTGCCTAACACCGGTCTTCACTTCGAATGACTTTGTCAACTGTCCTCCATGCACAATTTTGCAGTTTAATCCATCATATGAGTTCTGTATGATATTGACTATTTTCTGAGGCACGCCGTAGTGTCGAAGAAGTTTCCATAGTGTTGTTCTGTCCACGCTGTCAAATGCCTTTTCGTAGTCAATGAAGTTGATGTAGAGTGATGAATTCCATTCAATTGATTGTTCCACAATGATCCGTAGAGTTGCGATTTGGTCTGTACACGACCGATCCTTACGGAATCCCGCCTGTTGGTCTCGAAGTTGGGCGTCTACGGAGTCCTTCATTCTGTTTAACAATACCCTGTTGAAGACTTTTCCCGGTATTGAGAGAAGAGTGATGCCCCTGTAGTTATCACAGTTGCTGAGATTGCTTTTCTTTGGTATTTTGATCAGAATTCCTTCTTTTCGGTCTGTTGGTACTTGTTCCTCATCCCAAATCTTGCTGAAGAGAATGTGGAGTATCCTTGCATTTGCCGCTACGTCTGCTTTTAGTGCCTCAGCTGGGATGTTGTCCGGTCCTGCTGCTTTGCCTGCAGATATATGAAATATTATTTACTTATAAATGGATGTTATATCTTCCCAGGTCACAGAAACCTTTTACCTGCTAGTTGTCTCTAAGACACGTTTTATGAGCATTTCACGAACATTCTAAATGTTCTGACCTTCGGAATATAAATAAATTGTCATTTTTGCAGACAAAATCTTTAAAACTCTATCACAGCTTCTCTATAAAGTTTACCATAGAATGATTTTTAATGGATATTAATAAAAGCATACATCCCACTTGTTAAGGACATCAAATTATAAACAATACATTGAACAAATTTCCTACTAAGATTTATGGACAATATTTTCTATCACTTCGAACAAGATGATTGATAAGTATTATTGAAAATAAACGTCCTAATACGACCTACTGCCAATCTTACGGTTCACACGAAAAACTAAATAAATTTGTTTTCTGATACATATGGATGTTTTATTTCCTGAGGTTATTATTTTCATCTGATCTGATTCATATAAAATTTGGTATAGATAAGTGAGATGGTGGAGAAGATTTGTAGCTCAGGTGGATGATTTTGGTGGAGTTTTGTTCTCTGAGCTGGAAACCATCCAGTATAGATAAGTGCCACACAACCACAGAATAAAGAGACAGTGTTATGGAGAAATAAAAGAGGGAAAGAGAGTGTGGTCTAAGAAAAAAACAGGCGAACAAGAATACTTTAAGATAAGAGATACAGGTCGGTTAAAAATACGTCTAAAAAGACTTCTTTCTGTTAAGGAAGCTCACTTCATGTTTACCAAAAATGTCAAAAACTACATCAGGACTGCCATCGGTTTTCGTTTTGAGCTACGTCTGATATCATCTCAGGCTCCTGAATTGAACTATTTCAATAACCCAAGTAAAGGAGTCACGAAGGACAGATAAGTGATTGTCCTCTAAAGATTTCTTTTAAACCATGGAGCTATATCAAAAACTGATCACCTCTCTAGTTCTTAAAACCCGTCTTAGCATCGCTAAATAATACATAGTATAGAATTCGCTGGGATGATAATCGTAACACATGTTCAAGCCAATGAAATCGGTGTTTCAAAATGATGATACCAACTGAACTGGACCTCTGTATTATTAACAACGATGACTGAACACAGAGAGTCAATCTTTAACGGATTTCAAACAAACTGTGAAGTATTATGGGAGTCAATAGTTTGAATGCAACCGGAAACACACTTATCCTTCAAAAGTTATTCAACTTTTTACAGATGGAGTCAACTATCGCTTCACTGCAGGGTGTCGAATTCCTATGTCTTCTATACTTTTCAAACAATCTAATCAGTTCTCTAAGAGAAATTTCTCTACCATTCTTGAGTCGTCTAGGCCTGGTGACTTATGGCTCTTCGTAAGTTGAAATTTTTTAAGAACCTCGGCCCCATTTGCTGGATTAGTCATCACCAGACACACAGTACAAGAGTTTCATAGATGTTTCTGGAGCAAAATATCAGCTGAAGTCTTCCTCGCAAAACTCTGTTAAACATCCAAGACGCTTTTAGACGTTAATGATTGTCATCCCATTAGCTTCATAGATTTCTTTTAATCACACCAGACTTCTTGATGTCAGGGGGTTGGATGAGCTGGAACAGTTTTAAGCCAGTACCGGATGAAGCTGCGGCTTCCAACTCTTTGGCATGCTTCGACCACCAAACTTCCCGATCTTTACAAAAACTTGGCACAATTTATGCTTATCATCAAACTCTCGATTTGTGGAAGTACACCAGGGTGATTTAAGGAATTATAAAGAGCTTGAGGAGACTCTATACTTATAAGCTGGGCGTTTCGAAAAGCCGCATAAGAATTTACTACCCATTACCTTGGCATTATGCAGTTGCAGCCAATGCTTATCCACATCTTCTCGTGAACCTGTAGATAGCCTCGAACCTGCCCCTAAATGATCTGGTATGGCCGAGAGTGGGGAGAGTCAGCTTTCCCTCTCCAAATGCTCTCACATGTTCACGTGCATACAACCACTTCCGGGAAAGTTTTACTCACTGCCTTCTCGTGGTGGGGGTGTTTACGGAATTGAGAGGACGAAAAGCGAATGTCCGGAACTTTAAGCGGGTTGATGGACACGGAAGATCCACCTAGGGGAGTTGGAAAACCCTGGTTCCAAACCAATGGTGCGCTGCGCTAAAGGTTCCTGAGGGAACAAACAACATATGAACCAATTGTTGTTCACCGACTAACATGGAACTGCATCTCCTGATGTTGCCTCCCTGCCTTGTGGATCAGACCTTTAGGTCGAAGGCTCCGGGCGTGACCCCCTAAGAAAACCATCTGCTTCGGCTTGGGCTCCCGGGCAATATCCAAACTGCATATCTGTTCAGTGCCTCCTTGTACCAATGTTCATGTGTTTAAATGATGATAATAATATGGCTTGAACCTAGTTTGGTTCGATATTTCGATTGCAACGGAAGCTGCCCTCAATTCGTCTACAACAATCCATTAGAAACGATGAGTTTGTAGACCAGTGAGACGTAAGATAAGATTGGAGGAAACCAAAAGGAGCACCATTTTTGAATGTGACCATGCCAGCGGTAGCTGATTGCGATGTTATCAATCTGAGTATCCACTTGAGTCATCGTAGGAGCCCCACGCAGTATATCGTCGATAACCGTCCCGGGAGTGGGTGCCAGCCAGAAAAAGATTGCGGTTTGTGCAAAGTTTCTGGAGATCGGCATCGTTATCTAACCTTTGACCAACAAGTTCCCATCTGCCACTTTAGCTACTCGGTTCTGAGTCTAACTCAAAATAAAAACCATATATCACTATAATAAAGTACGTCAAACAAGATCTCACCTCATCCAATACGAGAAACAAACCCTCACTACCCACAGGATATAGATAATGACGTAGTGGTACAGGACGGCAGTCAGATGAAACAACATGACATGGTTGATGGTGAAGGTGAGCTATCCATTCAGCAAACTGGCGAGCATTTGGAATAGTAGCGCTAAGAAACACATAACGAACATTATCAGGTAAAAGCACTATAGTTTCTTCCCAAACCACTCCACGTTCAGGGTCACGCATATAATGAATTTCGTCAAATATAACCCAACCGACCTCTCGCACCATTGAAGCACCTCTGGGAAATAAAAATAGGACTTATCATTAAGTTTGAGGACATTTATATTGAACAATATATTTGCTAAAGCTGATTAACCTTCACACAATAGATGGGAGTTTTAGCATTTCAACACGTACATAGTGGTTAATTCTTACTATTATTTACTTGGTTGAAATTATATATTTGAATGAAGTTCAGCTAGCCATTTGAATATGGAGATTAAAGTTACCAACTTCGGGCTCAATTAACCAAGCAAAAACAAAAATTCATAAAGAAATTGCTGCTTAATAGTACGATGTTCACCAGAATTTAGAAACCACTTTATTGCTTACCCTTTCACTTCCGAAGTACAGTTTCACTTAGCAACCTATATTGAGGAAAATAGGAGTATTTTAAGCTGTTGTTTGCTAGCTGTCGCCGGTATGCCAAATTAAATACAGAGAGCGGTGACATGTTTGTCACTAGATTTGCTAGCGCTAGTTAGGTGGTTAACATATCCGACATTCGACCAAAAGGTACTCCATTTCCAGACATTTTAATATCATAATACGTATGCTTCAAAGGTAAGGATATATGTAGATTATATATATACTGAGATCGTGTTATAAGATAGAACCATCGAATGTTAAAATCAAGAACAATATTATGGGTAAGAAGGGTAAGTCTGTAGTCTATGAAGGCATTCACTAAGACCAGATGATTCGGTTTTGTATGATGATTGGAGTTGAGTCCATTACACAAACTGTAACAGACCTATTTACGTAAGACTATGTTGCCAACACTTACTGCCATGCTACTCTTTTACAAGAAATAACTGAAGTAGTTAACATAATTATAAGTAATAATAAGTTAGGTAAAAATGACGATCTCACTTATACAACATGGATTGAAGGATTTCTGTGGTCATGATGAGTACACTAGCGCTGGGATTGATTGTAGCATCACCTGTAAGTAATCCTACTTCCGGGAAGGCTTCGAAGAATTCTCTGTATTTCTGATTGCTAAGTGCTTTAATAGGAGTAGTATAAATTACACGTTGTTTTTCCCGTAATGCTGTTGCGATTGCATATCTGAAATAACGCGATAAATGGATAGTTTGGTGACAATATAGAAAACCTAAGAAAAATATTGGTCAAATGTTCAGGGATTATGAATCTTTTATTCCATCACAATGTACCTCCGAGTCAAAACATTTCACAGAATGGTACAGCTGGGGAACACTGTTTAACTTAGTAGCGGATTTGGAACAGTGAAGTGGTAATATTATGCGCTCACTCTGATTACCACGTTTTTGTAAATACCTTTCAATTATTCAATGGAGTTTGAAGAAACATTTTCCTAATAAAAAATTCCCGAGGAATATCCTGTCCAGTAACTCACTGAAATTACAAAGATTATTGGCGTTTAATACATGTATGAATAATTTGTAACTTCAACTTTAATGACAATGAACGACACTGCTTTCTACCCTTATCTCCTCTGCCCGTCGACAGAGGACTGAAGTTCAAGATTGTCTAGAAGCTTTATTTATAGATCCAAAAAGATTAATTCACATTTGAATACAATTCAATATACAGAGATTACAATCAGTAATCAATATTTAAAGAAATTATCAAAATGAACAACCATAACACAGAATTAGTACAATTAGGTATTATACTGAACAGAAGTCAAACAAATGAAAAACATTTTTGCATTAATTGACAGTAATTAATCTTATACTGAGCAAAAAGATATACTGAAGTAATCTAAAAGTCAAATAAACAGAAATCATACTGAGTTAAATTGAAAGCCAACTAAATGGACAAAACATCTAAATTAATATATAGTCTTTCACAATTTCTTCTAAACAGACTATATTTTAGGATTTAAGACCCTCAACAGTGACAGTAATCTCGGACCAGCAGAAGCGTGCAGATAATTCTTAACTTATATACGACCCGGTTCTTGTGAGTCAGTCTTTTCAGAATCTGCATAATTTTCGCAGTACGAGTCAAAATTTCGGAAATATCTAATAGTGCAATTATACTCTGATGGTTGGCACAATTTCATAGGTTCTAATTACTTACCTTTACCTGCGTGTTTAATCTTACAAACTCCATGGGATTTGGTAAGCTAAATTATTCTACCTGATGAAATTAGATGACTGGATGATAAAACTGATTGCTGATTGGCTATGAATACTGAATATGTTCTTATTACTGTTAATGTTAGTGGATCTGTTAGTAACCATAAGATTTACGGACTAGAAGCACTATAAATTCACGTAAAAACTATGAAGTATTAATACTTATTTCTAATTACTTTTTTTATTTTTAGTCTACCAACTTACTGATTCACATTTGATCTAGACGTATGAACACGTACCCACTTATATAAGGTCGAATAGGTTAGGTTTTCCTCAAGCACTAGTTCCTTGACTGTCTTAGCTTCATTTGGTTTTCTAGCTCAATTTAAATTTTCAGTTAGTTCCGAATACAGTAATAGACATACAACAATAAAGCTTCTGCACCTGCTTCACATAGGCGGATTAAGCAAAACTGGAAAAAAACGACTAAAAGCATGAAGACCGATTCTAGGTGTTGAATAATTACCTTGAAATGAGTATGGATTGTGATCGAAATATTATCCAGTAAAAAACATATTACTTCATTATGAAGTATAAATAAATAAATAAACCAACACGATTAACACTGACCCAATGCCTAAGTTCCATACATATTACGAGCACTTGAATTAGATTTTTTTAGTTGTAGAGACAATTTACGAATAACTTGATGCATAGTTAAATTATACGAGTTAATATTAGTCGCAAAACCCAATAAGATAACACATGAAAACCAAAGGCATATATATTTAATAACACCCATACTTGCACAAATTACCCACAGGCTGACTACTCGAAAATTTTGAGGTCTAACTTGAAATGTAGTCTTGGTGAAATACGTCTTAGGATTCGAGAACTGGATGAGTTTTGGTGATTCCGCGATTAAATAAACAATAATTTACTGAAAATTCTAGATAGACTTTTAAGATAGTGGTGAATCACGTGGAATGTATAAATACTCATTATATATACCAATAAAGTAAAATCGTTAGTATAAAACTTACTCAGCAACAACAGTTTTACCAGCTGACGTATGAGCCGATAATAGCACCGACTGATTATTATCAATACATATGATTGCTTGTTGCTGAAATGCATCAAGCGTGAAGGGAAAAGTTTTCGCTGGAAATCCACAATCTTTAATAATTGGCTTGTATTCAATATCAGGGGGAACAGCCACCTTTAGGGAAAAGACATACGGCCCAAGATAAAAACTACCTCGTGTGTACATGTTTCAGGTGAACTGATTTTATGTATTTGTATTCTGGGAGCATTAAATTCTAGAGTATCACCAACAGATAGTTTTGAACGTTTGGGAGAATCATCTGTAGAATCTTCCTCTACTTCTTTTAATAAGGGTTTGAGTGAAGCTTCTGCTCTGAAGATAAAAAAAGTGCTTAACATTAAGTGCAATAGCAACATTACAAACGTAATTGCTGTGAAAATAACAGAAAACCTTGGGAAAATATTGAATATCTTTGAGATTTGACACCAACGTGAAAGAATTATAGATAAGTCATATTTTTCTTTGCTTTTTAGTCAAACAATCGAACGAGCCGACTTAACGAATTCGCTGTTAAGTGAAACACGTTATCTTGGTTTGAAATGTAGCCAATCTTACAAATGTCATTAAAGCAACACTCAAAGAAAGCAATAGTCTCTTGCATCACACGTCAAGGAATGATGAAGGTTAAAAAATGATAGGAACTGAGTTAGGCGTTTTGAATGATAAAACTATGTTTGGTATTAAACTTTGGATTACTAAGCCATGCTTTAAAAAATATAGTTTGAACACATATATAATATAAGCATTTCTGTAACAAACATGGTCAAAACTCTAATGCTCCCGGTTACTACATTGTAATCGAAATTCGTTATCTTATTGATGGCATATATATAGAGGAGTATAGTCAAAGTAAACGAAGTGGTTATGAAGTAGCGTTTTCAAACTTACTACTTGTGACGAATATCTTCTATGTCAAACATGGCCAAGAAAATTGGCAATGAAATGCCAACCGACCTTAATGCAATGGATGTTGGTAATTTCGTGAACTACGCAAGTAGAAGCAACAAAGGGTTTGGTGATATTCTAAGTCGATCTTAGATGTCAAAAAAGATCACAACGAATACAAATTACGTGGAAAATACGGGAGAAATGTGTTAAAAATGTTATAGAAACCATGAGAGAAAAATTATAAACATAAATCAAAGAGAAGACAAAAGATATAGCACAATAAGGCGTTTTAAGCTTAAAATCGGGCAAACGGTGGGTAGATTTTCAACACCGTAACCACACCAGTTCAATTAATTATCTAAGGAATGATGTGGTCTTTAGTCATTAAATCTACAGTACCCAAATATGTAGAACGCTAGCCAAGTTTTACAAATCGGTAAAACCAGAAATTTCACAGTTCGAAATCGACAGTAATATACCGTATTACTTTATAATTAACTTGTAGTGAGGCACTTATCACAACAATTATAAATATATTAAAGAGGAAGAATGTATTTGTAAAATCTCAGCGAAAGAATTTGAAGTAAATACAACGTTTCGCCTGGCAATTGGTCCAAGCTTTTTCAAGGGAAATATAATCAAACAACAAAATTATCGAATATAAATAGGTACATGGTTCTCTGGTTTACTGTATGCAATCAACGTTAACAATGTTTAAAGTAGATATTTACATTAGTGTGTAAGAGACATATGATGTGAAACAAAAAGTGTTAAGATAACAGATTGTATGTATACGTAAGTGATGTGAAAAGAAGTTTCATTCACTATATATTGTCTTCGATCAGTAGAATATTAGGAAAACACATAATATATGACATAAAACAAAAATGTCACAGCATGCATAAAATGAAGATAAATAAACGAGATAAAAGTTTGAATTCAGAGAGGAATGTATTTGTAATTGAAAGTTTGTGTTATTTTAATGTTCCAGTCAATTGTTTAACATATTCAGATAAGTTAACTGATTTGAACCGTTGAATGTATTATCTATTGATTAGTTAATATGATATAGATAGCTAGAATGGAATAAGGAGTTCAGGTTTACTTATTAACTAATAGCTGCCATGGGACAGGTAGTTGTATTCCATCTCTCCTATTAATACTGTTTGGATTAGCCCATATACGTAGGGCTTCGGCTGTCAGTTGTTCTTTGTAAGATTTTACAAATACATTCTCCCTCTTTAATGTCTCATATTGACTCGGCGCCGAAATATTGTGAAACTATTCGCTCAAATTTAGACGAAAGTTCTTAGTAATTATAAGTACAGTTACAATCACGACAAAATATAATCTTAAAATAAAGCTTTCCTTGCTAATAGCATTAACACCACACAACTGATTTTATTTTCATAGGTATGGGAAAACAAAACTTAAGACGTATTCCTTAAGATCCAAGTAACCACGCAATAGAGGTTCTTAATTGAGCAATCTAAAAATACAGTGGTATTTTCCCTCGCTACATCAAGTTTATGCTGTAGATTATTTATTATGCACTGAGACCACTGTTTCCACTTCATTTGGATTTATTTTAGTTACAGTAACACCAAGAGTTTTGTTTTTTAGAGAATTTTTTTGCATCTGTACTCTTATTGAGTACAACATATTTTTGTGCACAGTACTTTTCGAACCTAACAGTTCGTGACTCGCTCTTTGCCCAACTTTTTTGATTAGCAGTTTTTGCATCAGAGTGTTTCTTGCCTAATTTATCTGAAAATACTTGGTTGCTGACTAGTGTGAAAAAAATCAGTTGTCAATGGCCAGGTTGTCGAGACCCGGTGGATGGTGGTACACAGTGCGATGAGTGAAAAGAATGGTACCACGAAATTTGCACAAATCTAAAGCCTGTAGCTTTAGAAAGGTTTACTAAACCCGGGTCTGTATGGTTGTGCTATCAGTGCTGCTCGAACGCAGAGCTTGCAATCAGAAACCGTTGCAATAGTGAATGTTGCACGTTGACAAACGCAACCGAGACCAGTCTGATGATTCTTCCAGTATCAATATACAAATCGATGTGCAGTCATCTCAAGTGGACTTAAAATAGACTGGCATACGTGGGCAGAGGAAAAGATCAGACCGAAAGAGGTCTGTATTTATTTATTTATTTATTTTAACACATAGATATTGGTACAAGGAGACACCAAATACATATGCGCCACACAAATCTCATTCGATATGTGTGAGGGCTGTGATACTGCCCGGGTGCTCAAACCGTAACAGGTGGTTTTCTTAGGGGGCCACACCCGGAGCCTTCGACCTGAAGGTCTGATGCACAAGGCAGTGGAGCATCGCAAGGAGATGCAGTCCCATGGGAGCCGGTGACCAATAATTGGTTCATACGCCATTTATCCCCGCAGGATACTGGAGCCCATGTGCACCATTGGTTCAGAATCTGGTTAAAGCGCCGGACATTCGCTTTTCGTTCTCTCATTTTTGTAAACAACACCCCTGCCACGAGAAGGCAGTGAGTAGGACTTTCCCGGCAGAGGCTGTATACGCATGGCCATGTGAGAGCATTTCGAGAGGGAGAGCGAACTCTCCCCACTCTTGGTCGTACCAGGGCATTTGGGGGCAAAGAGGTCTGTTAGAAATAACAACTTAACGAAGGTTTGTTTTGTGTCTTGCACTCCGAACAGCAACAGTCAGGAAAAGCGCAGCAAACCCTGTCGTAAGGTTAGGTCTGTTTTTAGGAGGAAAAACAGCATAAGCCATAACCTGACCACCCAATATGACAACAATTATTTAAGGTTTCGCAAGGTATGTGATGCAACTGCGATTGCAACTCGACTGAGAAGTGATAAATGGATGCGATGTAAGAATAAGAAACGGCCTGTTATAAAATAAAGGTGGTTTCCTTAATCATAGTTAAGATGTCAAAGTCTGATCATAGTGATATGTTAGTTACCTTTTATAGAGTAAGGGAAAATGAGAGAATTGAGCCCAAAACTCGCTCTGACCTTGATATAAGGTTGATAAAATGTCTGGATAGCTAGCTAATGCCTCAAAATATCTCTGGGGTCAACTTGCTAGAAATTCATAGACTAGGTAGCCAGACGGACAAAAAAGAAAATCAAACCAGGTGCTGAAAGTAGTATTTAAATCCTTCGAATATATGGGACTTAATACTACAGAATGGAAATAAGCAAAAGAGACCAGTTTTTGTATGTAAAGACTTGTTGCTACCTGACCATATTGAAAATTGAGAGGCTGAGAAAGAACTAAAACCAAGATATGGTAAACGTGAAACTGACCAAAAAATTGATTTCCGAATAAGGCCCTGACAGAGAATGATCCCGAGGTCACTTTGGTTGCAGCAAGAAACCATTTAAATGGTCTTCAGATCTGTTACACAAATGCTCGGAGCTTGTTCAACAAGCGATCGGACCTAAGTACACAGACAGATTCTATCAGACCAGAAATAATCAGTCACAAAAAATCCGCTCAGCCAATCTGAGGATAGTGAGGAAATTAATTTCGGAAATTTCACATTGGTAAGAGCCGAGAGAACCCAGAAGCTTGAAGGAGGAAGAGTAGCTTTATCCACTAAAAATACTATCCCGTTACCGTTATTGATAACATCCCATGAAAGTGAAATATGTGAAACAGCTTGAGGTATTCGGGAATCTGTTATTGCACCGCACATTCCTTGTATTACACTGAAGAATTAGAACTCCACAGAAAGGAGGTCCGCAACCTCATCCGTAAGAGGGAAAGAATGTGGGAGAGATTCAGGTTATTGTCACTGTTGAGATGAAATCTGCTTCGGTTTGAGCACGCGAGCAGTATTACAGCCCTCACACAAATTAAATGAGATTTGTGTGGCGCATATATATTTGGTGCCTCTTTGTACCAATATCTGTGTTCAAATAATAATAATCAACATCTGGAAGCTCGAAACATTTGTGTCTCGACTCTATGCAAGTCTAAAAACTAAAGTAAGCTCGTTAAGGAGGTTATAGAGTACCCTAAACGCTTATAATCGTACATAAACCAAAAAACTGAGAGAAGAGGCAACATCCTAGAAGTGCGACATCACTAGTGCAGGACAATTGCAGTAATGCGTGGGCATTCTCAAATAACTTTAGCAGTGTATATACCGAAGAGATACCCTCTCTTCCAGTTTATACAAACCCCCGTGCATACTTTGGACACAATGACCATCAGACAAGTCGATATTTTTGGTCTGATAAATAAGCCTGATACAGGCAAATCTATGGAATAAATCCAAAGGGATTAGCGAATTTTATCGCAAATTCCTTAAGCATATATTTTAATTTATCTGCAACCCAAGGTAGACTACTAAAGGATTGAAAGTAAGCTATAGTAAGCCCTGTATTAAAAACAGGTACAAGACACAAACCGGAGAACTACGACCCATAAGGCTAACCAGAGCGGTTGTTAAGATTTTATGAAAAGCTATTCGGAAGTTGTTGAAATATCTAGACGAAAACCTGGTTCTTTCTGGAAAACGGTATGGTTTTATAGCAGCTTATTCATGACTCATAAATTTATTAGTAGATCGTCAAAGTTGGTGTGCTCTTGAAGATCAAAAGCTACCGACAGATACAAACTTCTGGGTTCTATCGGCTCTTACCAATGTGAAATTCCCTAAATTAATTGACCTCAGTAAAGTTTTTGACAATTTTCCGGACAACAGTAGTTATCTAGGTTGAGATATCAGGATTGGAGGTAACTTAATTATGTAGATAAAGAACTTCCTAGTTTCGTGTCAACAAAGAGTACAGGTTGACTCCAAGCTGTCTAGCTGAGAAACTGTGCTTAGAGCAGTTCCCCAGTGCACCGTTTCTGGGCCAGTATTATCCCTCCTGTATGTAAATGAACTTCTTAGTCTCCTTACATTAGTAACGTTGTTGTATGCTGACGATATCAGTCAGTCATCTACAACGTAGGACAGGGCACATATATGCATCGGTCCAAGTTGCTATACTTCATTGACTCAACAACATGATCACCAAATTCATAGAAGCAGTTGCTTCAATGGTAGTAATATATAAAAGAAAATTGCATATAAGGATATAATACAGGAATAAAGAATTATTTCGTTGAAATAAAAGTATTAATTAATTATAACCTTACGGTTTAAGGGAAGACAAACAGTGCATACAACTACACCATTGTGATTGATTTTGAGCCATGTCATCCAGTCTCCAACCACTGGTTACGATCGTCAGGCGGACCCCAACCAAGTAGTCTGCATCTACCAACATGATCGAGACTAAGAGTTAGACTCCAAGAAATGATGTAACGTTTGGCTTTGGCCACCCCTAACTTTCTTCCAAACGTCTCCAACACTAGTCAACATTGTACGTCGTGGCAATCGGTGTTTGGGCATGTGTGATACTTAACCCAATCATCTCAGTCGATGTAGGTTTGCAACCTCATCAACTGATTTACCATCATTCCCTAACACCCTGCGTCTAACCTCACTACTACTTACCCGGTGATCCCAGAAGATGCGAGCAACATTTCTAGGACATCTGTGGTCGAATACTAGTAACTTACGAGTGTCCTCTATCCTCAATGGCCACGTTTCGCTGCCGTAAAGTAGAACAGAACGAACTGCCACACAGTATACTCGTCTCTTAATTGGTAGACAGATATCTCGCCTTCTCCATAGGTGACGTAAGTTGGCAAAAGCCAAACGAGCCTACTGAATCCGTGCTGAGATTTCGTCAGATACCAACCTACTAGGGCTGACCAGACTTCCAAGATAAGTGAAGTTGTCACCGCGTTTGACTGCTCCACTCCCTATCCTGAGTTCAGGTGTTGGCTCAGGCCAACCCTGGAGCAACAGTTCGCATTTAGAGGGGGAGAAACGCATTCCAAACATTCCTGGCATTGTTGCTTAGCGCTACCAAAAGACTTTGCATTTTAACGTCTTCACCAAACAGGACTATTTCATCTTCCCCAAATGCCCTGGTACGGCCGAGAGTGGGGAGAGTCAGCCCTCCCTTTCCATATGCTCTCACATGGCCACGCGTATACAGCCTCTGCCAGGGAAGTCCTACTCATTGCTTTCTCATGGCTTGCATGTTGTTTATGAAATTGAGAGGACGAAAAGCGAATGTCCGGTGCTTAAACCGAGTTAGTGGTGCACATGGACTGGCTTCAGTATCCTGAAGTAACAAACGGCGTATGAACCAATCGTTGGTCACCGGCTCCCATGGGACTGCATCTCCTTACGATGCTCCACTGCCTTGTGCATCAGATCTTTAGGTCGAAGGCTCCGAATGTGGCCCCCTAAGAAAACCACCTGTTTCGGTTTGGGCACCCGGGCAGTATCACAGCCCTCACACATATCGAATGAGATTTGTGTGGCGCATATGTATTTGGTGCCTCCTTTTTTACCATGATATGGAGAGCTAAAAAATCGATTATATTTTAGGGCCCTCAAATGACCTGTAAGAATTATCTGAATGGTTCGAACAGTCCATTATGATGTGTAGTGGTCGTCAAGGCACAGATGCACGGTGAACAATATTGAGCTGCCAGTTGTACAAACACAATGATATAATCAATACCTAAATATTTCACACTCCCGTGCGACAGCAGCCAAAGGTTCTAGAAACCTCTGGTCAATATGTAGTCTTCAGCCATGTAGACGTTAAGGCTTTTCTGATTTAGTGGTGTTTGTTTATCGTAACCTCTAGTATTGGGTAAAACCAGACAACCCAAGCCTAAAAGAAGACAGTGAGCTGTTGAGAAAGATCCAAAGAACAACGATCAAGTTGATTTGTGGGATCACAAAGTTGTCGTATGACAAGACTGACTAAACTAAGCTTGTTTCCCGTGTCATGTGAAAGGTTCGGAGATGACCTGGCCACACTATCCAGGTTACTTAAGGACAAATTTACATTTGATACCCTCACTTGTTAGTCTTCGAAAAAAGAATTTATGAGGACACTACGAAAATGTCTGTAAGCCCTAAACAAATTACGGCGAGACTATAATATATGAACGAACCAATCAGTCTTGAGTTTTGGAGGGAAATCAACTTATTCATTTGGCTAAAAAGTTTTGGCATTATAGCTAATGTCAGTTTGTGATGAAAACCATACAATTAATTCCTAGCCCGAACTATCAACCGCAAATATTAATCATGACTACTCACAGTGGTTTCTAACCCTCATTTAGCCGTACTACGTAGGTGGACATTCTCAACCCAACCACTCTATTTTGGGGGAAATTTGAACCGTTTTGCAGAAATTTTAGGGAAGCCGCTATAGAAACTTTTGAGATGGTATAGAGACCTCAAAATTTTCTTTTAACCTTGGTCAAGGCCATTTGACTTTGGGGATTTTCCCAAAGTCTGGTGAGTAATTTGGCTTTGGAGGTTCCCTCAAAATTCACTCGAAATTCCCTAAAACTTCCCCAAACTTAAGAGATTGGGAAGGTCTTTTTAGCGTCGTTCAAAGGTCGTCCATAAATTATGGTCTCTCGAAAACACTACTACCGAGACTAATACAGGCACTCAGCCTCCTGTCCATCTAAAATGAAAAAAAACTGCAGATTGACGCTAAATAACCACTAGGCGTTAATATCAGCGCACGATATGCCGTACTTCTTTGTGGAAAAAACGTTGCAGATTTGTGTTGAACAAAAAACAGCATTTATACTTGAAGATAATGGAAACTTCTGAAGAATCCGCCGTATAATGGGTCCAAAACTCGATAAACCTTTTTCAGATCGCGGGATGAAAATCTACAGTTGCATATACATGAAATAGATATTTAGGGAATTTAGGTGCTGAACCATCTACATAATACTTAACTAACAAGGGTAGAACAGTCCTATAGAAGAACCATTGTGAATGCTCCTTTACGAGGAACAACGCTCAGAAATCTATTAAACTTACTTTCGCTTTTTTTCTTCAAAGTCACCAGGCTGTGTAGAACCGGTATCTACAAGAGTCTCAGAAGATGGTTTTTTAGGATCGAAAGCTGACGTCAATTCGTCCAGATCTAAGCCAAAAGCAGACATGATTTTCAAAGTCCCTCCTTCATATGACCCTTGACGTTCAATATCCAATATCCATATGATGAGGTTATTTTAAACGATTGACGTTTCCAGCTCGCTTCGTGCTATTTTTATGTAGTTTCAGGTCTTTGGTGAGGTTTAATAAGTGTATCCAAGCCGTTTTACTACTCTATTTTTATCATTTTGGTCGTTATTTCTGGGTGTGTAGATCTTTTAATCAGAGTGAACTTGTCCCAGAGCAGTAGGGTTTCTGAGATACGTGATTATCACATTACCGGAATGAAAATTAGTTAAGCACAGTGTGAAAACAATAGAAATAAAATTTACATGTTGACAGATGATTGTTTCAGAAGTTAAATAAACAACTAATTTAGGTATTTGGAAATATAAATGATGTGAGTAGTCTAAAGTATAGGAATAAGAAAGGCAACATAGATAATAATAATTAGTGAAATAGAAATATGATATGCGATAATCACAATGGCACATAAGTTACGAGACCTGTGTTAGGCACAACTAGCTCAAGGCGAAGGCGGTAGTCCATGTTTCTGTAGAATTATGGTGTACTATGATATTCGTACTGCTCTAATAATATACCTAATCCTAAAATTGTGTACTTGTCATGATATAACTGCCTAATCTATAAGATCTTACATAGAAGTCATACCATCGTCTACACTAACTCACTGCATCGTAGCAATTACCAATACATCATGGAGAACAAGCTTAGGCTAGAGGCAGAACAATATATTTAATATGAATAAAAGATATAAGATAGCATCCAACAAGGACCACCCCTGCATGGCCGAGCCATGACATTCGATCAACTACAATTAATTCAACTCCTTGTTCCCGCCTTCTCCATCGTTAGGTATTTCTCCTCGTTAAATATTGAATATCTATTTTCCGAGTAGTCTCCTATTGAGCTTTGAGGATTGTGTAGTTATGGTCCAATGCCACTACACTGCTCTCCCACCAGAATCAACATGACGTTGTTTCGATATCAATTTGAGGTTGTCGCGCGCCGGAGGTTACGAAGAATAGTGTAAAACCTCCGGGTATTGATAAGCTGAAAAATAAATCAAAATATCTGGTTTAGTTCCTAACACGCTTAAAATGAAAATTTAGGTGAGGATTATTTGAGCTAAACAAAATGGGGTTATAATAATAATAAAATGACTCCGTATCATGATATTTTAATAAGGCGCCGTAAGATATAACTTATACGTAGTACATATTTTGTGTTCAGATATATTAAAAACAACCAATATTGTAGAAATGTTATTATTAGTACTAATTTCGTTTTAGTTAGGAAATCAAACAACGTTTATGTCCGTAAGTTGTCCATATGAGTTGATTTCCAACCGCATCCGTATTAGTAGGTAACTAAAGGAACAAAAGTATAACCGTGGAAAAGAATTCTAAGTAGTGTTCCAGTCAGTTTGATACGGTTTATTTAGTTAATGGGAGATTTTCTCGACCTCATTTTTACTTGATCGTGATAGAATTTAGTAATACTACAAATGCATATGAATGGTTATTAAAAAAATATAAGTACGTGAGTGATAATTATGTGAATTTTGGACAGATAGCTTAGAACAAATCGTTAAACATGAGTGTATTCGTAAGAGATATGCTCTAGACTCAATGTTCTGATTTGCCAAAGACTATTTATTCACATTCATACCTACCGGCTGATGGTACATACAAGTTAGTTGCAAGTATGTAGTTCAGTATAAGAGGTAATACGATTTCCTTGAAATATAGTGACTATAATTTACTGAAATCAGTTAAGCCACATTTCTCGGTGATGTGGTGCTGCAGGATGTATTTGGCTAAATAAGTTTGCAGAATTATGGTCTACTATGATATTAGTACTGCTCTAACAATAGACCTATTCCTAAAATTGTAGATTTGTCATGATATAACTGCCTAATCTATAAGATCTTACGTGGAAGTCACATCATCGTCTACACCAACTCACTGTATCGTAACAACTACCAATACATGATGAAGAACAAGCTTAGGCTAGAGAAAGAACAATATATTTATTATGAATAGAAGATATAAGGTAACATTCAGATGGACCACGCCTGCATGGCCGAGCCATGCCATCCAATCGAACCCAGTCCATTCAATTCCTTGTTCGCGCCTTCTTCATCGTTGAGTATTTCTCCGCGTTAAATATTGAATATCTATTTTCCGAGTAATCTCGTATTCAGCTTTGAGGATTGTGTGGCTATGATCCAATGCCACTACAAGTTCAGATGATTCGAGTAGTTGTGGACAGAATAGAAGCTATCGCTTAATATGTTTCCGTGTCTAGTAGCAAAGGATCAGAAAAATACCTCCAGGCAGGAACCTAGATATATTAAATATAAAAGAGGAAAAGAAATTGGTAAATCATAGTGTGATGCTGTCCTTGGTCCTTAAGAATAGGTCAAGTTGTCTCTTGAAGTACTCCTGAGAAGTCGCTTGGACTAGCTCGGCCGGCAGCGAATTCCAGCATTTGACAACTCTTAAGGAGTAGAAGCTGTGTCTACAGTCCGTCTTGCTATGTTGTGTTTCCAGTTTCTGGGTGTTACCCCTTAGATTATTATTCGAACTAAGCTTAAGTTGGTGTTTAAAAGGATGTCCAGAAGTGTTAAGAATACTATAAGCCATTAATAAATCACCTCTAAGACGCCTATACTTTAATGTGTAAAGGTTAAGTGACTGGAGGCACTCTTCATAAGGTCTAAATTTGAGTTCTCGAAGTGATTTCGTGGCTCGCCGTTGGATACGATCCACAGTGTCCTTAGCCTTTTGGAGCGAGGGGAAAATACTATGTTTCCGTACTCTAAATGGGGACGGATGAAACTATTGAAGATTATATGGAAAGTTCGTCCGTCAAACTGTCCAAAAATGCGCTTCAACGTTACCAGTGCAAGGTTTGCTCGGAAGGCATTTTTGTCACAGTTAGCGTAAGACTTTAAATCATGGGGCACCAGGACTCCCAAATCTTTTTTGACTTAGGAGGAGGTACCTAAGTTATAACTGTAGTCTGCGACATGTCGCAGATGGACTACTTTACACTTTGAAGTTTTAAAGGCAAGTCCATTATCGTCTGCCCAACTTTGAAGTCGAGTCAGATCCTCCTGAAGTGCCTGTATATCGTCTTGGTTGCGTATCTCTCTCCAAAGTTTCACGTCGTCGGCAAAAAGTAATAAGTCTGACGTTATCTGTTGAGGAAGATCATTTATGTAGATCAAGAAGAGAAGAGGTCCTAGTACTGAGCCCTGGGGGACCGCACCAGGACATTCCATAGCCTGAGATAAAGCGAAATTAACCCTAACCTTAAAGTGTCGATTTTTTAGGTATGAAGCAAGCCAATCGATTAGAGGTGGTCTGATACCCAATCGTTTGAGCTTATTGATAAGACATGTATGGTTAACCTTATCAAAAGCTTTTGAGAAATCTAGGTAGATGATATCAACCTTCCCCTTGTGATCGATGATGCTTTTCTATCTGTCCACCGCAGTCAGCAGGTTGATATTACAAAGTACCCCTTCCTGAAACCATACTGTTAGGGTGAGAAGAAATTTGAGGGTAGTAAAAAGTCATTTATACCACCGCATATCAGGGACTCCATGATTTTTGAGGTTATTGAGAGAAGAGCCACCGGTCGGTAACTTGAAGGTTCGCTGCGACGACCTCCTTTGAAAATTGGTATGATGTGAGCCAGTTTCCAATTTTCCGGTAGTTTTCCTAGACTTAGCGAGTGTGAGAACATCACGCTAAGCGGCGTTGCCAAGATTGAGGCTGCTTCCCTCAGTATGGCCGAATGAACCATATCCGGGCCAGGAGAAGTGTCTAATCTAAAGTGCTGCAGTTTCTGGAACACCAAGTCAGCGCTTAGGTTCACTTCGGAAAGTCCTGTGGAATGGCAAACGAAACTGTCATCAGTAAAGTTAGTGTCGGTCGGTTGAAATGTCTGGGAGTAATGTTCAGTCAGAAGGTTAGCGGCGTCGCCATCGTTATTGGTTAGGCCGTCAGGACCTAGCAGTTGCGAAACTCCAGTTTTGGCTTGACTTAGAGAGGCTGCATAACGGAATAAGCTTTTAGGATTACAGGAAGATTTGTCCATAAGCTTTGTCTGGTACTGAAGCCTATCTTCTCTTATAGCCTTCGTGCATATGTTCCTGATATGTTTATATTGCCTGTGTGCTCCGTCGTTGTCAGTTCGTTTGTATTCTGCCCAACAGTGCCTTTTGTAGCTTAGCAGGCGAAAAGTGCGGTTTTTAATGATTGTAGGTCGCTTGTTGCCTTTGTGGACGGTTTGATGAACTGACTGCTTTGTAGCACATAAGAGCGTGTGCAGCAAGAAGTCCCAATGACCGTCCAAATCGAGTTGAGGGTGAGCATCCCAATCCATTTATTGTAGATAGTCCTGTAGAGCTGACACATTCGACCGTTTAAAATTCCAACGCAAGTTATTGGTGGGGTATCTTGGCTTAGTTTTCTGACAAAACTGAAGGCTATGACGGCATGATCGCTTTTTCCCAAGGGAGCCAGGATTGCGAGGTTTTCAACTAGAAATTCTTCGTTTGTGAATACACAGTCTAGGTGCGTTGGCGTCTGACTGTTGCTCCAACGAGTTGCCGACCTCACATTTTCGAACAATCCCAAGTCATCGATGAGGTTGAAGAACCGAGCTTCAATTGAGTTGTCGCCTCCAGTATACGTGTGTTGCGCGAAGTTGACTCTAGGGAGATTAACGTACCCTAGAATCAGGATGTGTGTGAAACCGAGACGAGTAGAGCGGGATAGTCCTTCCAGCATACGACTATCGTACCCGATGTCGGTAGTTGGCTTCCTGTAAATGACTCCGACTAGACACCTCGAAGTACTTGACAATCTTGCAGAGCACCATATAGATTCCTCAAGATTGTTAAACTCGAGGTTATGAACTTGATGCACCTCCAAGCAAGAACGTATGTAAACAGCTACTCCGCCCCCATATCTTGATTTTCTATCATTGAGGAACAAAGACATCCC